CTGTTGCTGTTGCTGTTGCTGTTGCTGTTGCTGTTGCTGTTGCTGTTGCTGTTGCTGTTGCTGTTGCTGTTGCTGTTGCTGTTGCTGTTGCTGTTGCTGTTGCTGTTGCTGTAGTTGTTGTTGTTTGGCCTCCTTTGTCTATTATTATTTTGTGAAGAATTTCCCGTGAATCTTTTCGAATTACCATTGTTGTAGTAGTAATAGTTGTTGTTGTTGTTGATGTTGTGGTTATTGGTGCTGCTGCTGCTGCTGCTATTGCTGTTGTTGTTGTTATAATTACGATTATTGTGATCATCATCATCACCATCATCATCGTTATTATTATTATTATTATTATTATGGTTATTGTGGTTATTATTGCGATTATTATTGTGGGTATTGCGGTTATTATTATTATTATTGCTTCCGCTGCCACCAGTATCATCATTTGATCCATTTTCATCAGATAATGTCGCTGGTTTTGCTATTGGAATATTTGTTCTAAAGTAAACTTCATTGCGATCAGGCATAGGTCGATGTAACATAATAATATCAATTATATCGTTTTTTTCAATGATATTTTTGGATGGAAGATCAAATGCCGCAATGAATTCTCGTAGAGTTTTAACTGGCAAAACACATAGTTCATTGCGACTCATTGATGATACTGGTATTAACATTCACAAAAAAAGTGATCATTCAATTACCAAATATTATCGAATAGATTAGGCAGAACAAGGAATTCATCACTTACTTCTCAAAGCCTGACAACATAAATCACAAACCCTCGTTGGACCACTTAATATCAACAAAAATAAATCACCCTTCTCAATAAATAAAGAAAATAGATCTATCTATATATTTATAGAACCAAAATTAAGTGCTTACTTTAAGTAACCGAACTTTAAAAGCTCCACACGATTTTCAGAACAACGATGACAGACAACGTTCCCTAAAAATCACTAGAGTGTAAGTTTGCGTCAATGCGATAATTTGATGTTCATTGTTGAATAAATAAAGGCCTTCTACGAACTTACCACAATTCTTGCAATGGTATTTTGGCCTTATCAAAGAAAACTTTTTACCGCAGCGTGCACAATTTTTGGCTGTCCCAAAAGGTTTTAGTTTAGGAATCGAATGTGAGAGCGGCGCGTGAAAATTAGTTCCAGGTCCGTCAGAATCACCGTGACTACTATGGTCTGACATTTTGTTGAATTCGGTTTTAATAAGGTAGTGTGTGTGGGTTATCCTCTTTATACTTGATTGATTGAAACGGCGTTTTGTGTGACAAAGATTTAATATTGCTGAATAGTCTTTTTAAGGGTAGATGACCCTATTGTCTCCTGAGTCATCATCATCACCCCAATCATCTCTCAAGTATCGTGATGTTTTACACAAAGTTGAGTCTAATGAAATTTCCCATAGGGTTTTTTTACCATATTTGGGCTCTTGATTTTCATCATCTAATTTAACAATACAGTTACTCTTTTCTTCGTCTTTTAGCTTTTAACTTCATCATTTTCAACCTTGAGGTATCTATTTTATTTTCCTCTAGCTTCTTGATTTTGGCCTGTCTCAACTTCGCGTTTGGTGTTGATCTGTTTTAAAAGCTCGGTCTATTATTTCACAAGGACATTTATTAACATAGACAAAAAAATATGATCAGAAATATATATGCTACGTATACGTAAGAAGCTTTAATATTTTTTTTTTTATTTTGTAATTCGAATATTGGGTTATATTATTATCTAGCAATCATGGTCAATATGTAGTTATGAATTTGCTATTCTGCAACCAATATGTGGTTACCATACATTTTAAATTCATTATCGGATCTGTAAAAGTTTCCATTAAACATGCATGCCGAGATTGAATGCTAGTAGCAAAAATGCGTCAAAAATTTCACTTGACATGTAATATCTTAATATAGTAACAAAGTGAAACAGAAAAAAAACAGATCATGTGACTTCCGATCACAATCTGTCTTTCCGGAGTTCCTGGAGTCTGCCCCTGATAGCTTTAAGGTTAGAACGAGAACGTCACGCATTTATTATTTAGTAATTCGAGAATAATTTAAATATTTAGAATATTCAAATAAAATAAGACTTATTAAATTCTTACTTTATCTTATTGATAGTTAAAGCTCACTTATTCTTTTCTATTTGATTACTCATAAGATTATCTATTTAATTGTTATTAACTTGTTCACTCTCACTTTTTTACTTGTTTACTTACTAGCTCTTGCTTATTTTCTCAGGCTTGAGCTAATTATAATTATTATTATCCAAAAGAAATAATTAAACTTTGATTTTGAATTGATCAAAGCACTTAAAAAAAATTTTAAAAGCAGAAAAATTACTTATTGGTATAAAATACAGTGTGTAATAAAAATAATAATAATAACAAAAAGTTATATATCTTGATAATTACAAGAGATAATTAACTAAAATTTGATTTATTTAAAAGTTCATAAAATACTTTATTAAATAAAAAAAATTCAATATTTAATTCTATCATCATTATTTTTTAAAATTAATTCATGTCTATTTTTCATAAAGATTAATTAAATTTTTGATCATTTCTTGAGAAATTATTTTAACTTATCAATATTTTGTGATATATGCTTTTTAATATTATTTTTCACATATTTTCAATAGAATTTAAGTTAGAACTATTAGATAGTCATTCTATAATTTGAATTTTATTTTAGATAAAAAATTTCTTTATAATATATAAAGTATACTTAGGATCATTATCCTATTACAAATATTAGTCTCTATCACATAAATTTTTTATAATAAGTAGAAGCTATATCTGCAAAATATTTACATAATAAGAGTCATTTATTATATTGATAAAATAAAATAAAGATATTTTATCTTTTAATAAAATTTCATCTCATATTATTATTTTTTAATATACTTTTGACAAATATCAAATTAATTTATTATTATTTTTATATCATCTACTAATTTTATATCTGAAAAGATCAAAAGTAATTTTATTTGTGAATATTATTTTATCTTAGTTAGTATTTATATAGACTTATATTCATACTTTTTGTGTTTTAATATATTAACTTGTTAGTATGAGAATTTCAAGAGATATAGAGCTTTTATAACACTTTTTTTATATATCTTTAAATAAAAGTGTGAAAAACTGATATATTATACTTTTTCTGAACTAATAAAGAAAGTTGATAAGTTATTAAGACAGAATTATGATAAATATATTGACTTAAAAAATAATAAGAGTTTATATAATCTTAGATAATCTGTTATTATTATATTTATATTTAATAATACCTATTTCTCTAAGCTTTTAGAGATTATATTCAATAGTATAAAGAGAAATTTTTATTTTTTGATATATTTCTTTAGCAGAATAGATATCATTAAGTCAAAAATACAAAATAATTTTATGTTAGATTTTAAGCTTTATATTAATCATCTTTTTATAAGTTTTAGTAACAAAAATAAAAACAATAATAATTTTTTATTTATTTATATGATTAATAAGATATAAATAAATAAATATTTAGTTTTATAAATTATATAAGTAAATAAATTATTATTTTTTACATAAATTTAATTTGTATTATAAACTGTTATTATTTTTATTATATATTATATAAAAATAATTTAATAATAAAAAAAATTTAAATTATTTAATAGAGATAATAATATATATTTGATTAGAAAAGTTTTCATCATACTAATAATTATTTATTACTAAAAATAATATTATAACTTAATAATAATTTTCTAATTAATTATCATAATTAATTATAATTTTCTGATTAACTATTATAAATTATAATTAATTAAAATAATATCTCTATTTATTATTACTAAAAAATTCAAATAATAAATCAAAAACTAAAAGTTAAAGAAATTTATTAATAAAAAAATATAAAATTATCAAATAAATTTTGATTTTTTATTAAATAATAGCATTAATCAAATTATTAATCACAATTTTAATATTTTTAATAATTAAAAAACTAGTTTGCTAAAAGAGAAAATATTAGTTTAATATGAAATAAAAAAAAATAAATTTCAAAGATGAAAAATTACTTATTGATATAAAACATAAAAATAATCTAATAGTAAAGAAAACTTGAATTATCTAATAATAATGAAAATATATATCTAGTTAGAAAAGTTCTTATTATACTGATAATTATTTATTATCATCAAAAAATTCAAATAATAAATTAATAATTGAAGTCAAAAGAATTTATTAATAAAAAAATATATAAGTATCAAATATTTTTTATTAAGTAATAGAATTAATCAGATTATTAATCATAATTATTATTATTCTAATATCTTTAATAATTAAAGACTTAATTATTAAAAGAGAAAATATTAGTTTAATAAGAAATGAAAAAAAAATAAATTTCAGAGATGAAAAATTACTTATTAATACAAAATATAAAGATAATCTAATAACAAAAAAAACTTGAATTATTTAGTAATAATAAAAATATATATTTAGTTAAAAAAGTTCTTATTATATTGATAATTATTTATTATTACTAAAAATTCAAATAATAAATCAAGAATTAAAGTTAAAAAAAATTGTTAATAAAAAGATATAAAATCATTAAGTAATAGTATCAATTAGATTATTAATTATAATTATTATTATTCTGATATCTTTAATAATTAAAAACTTATTTATTAAAAAAGAAAATATTAGTTTAATAAAAAATAAAAAAAAATAAATTCTAAAAATGAAAAATTATTCATAAATATAAAATATAAAGTTAATCTAATAATAAAAAAACTTAAATTATCTAATAAAGATAAAAATATATATTCTGATCAAAAAAATTTTTATTATACTACTAATTTCTTGTTATCATCAAAAAACTCAAATAATAAATTAAAAACTAAAGTTAAAGAAATTTGTCAAAAAAATATATAAAATAATATTAAATAAATCTTAATTTTATATTAAGAAATTAGTATTAGTTAGATAATCAATTATAATTATCATTATTTTAATACTTTTAATCATTAAAACTTATTAAAAAAAAGATAATTAAATATTATTTTTATTAATAAGTTCTTTATTAATTAATCAAAGTATTTTAATATAAAATATAAAATAAGATCTTTAATTAGAAATAAATTAATAAAATATATTAATTATATTAAATATTTAACTATTCACAAATCTATTTTTTCTATAACTTTTTCATTAAATAATATTTATAATATAAATATAATATCTAATAAATATATTTCTCTTTTCTAATTTAATCTAAAAGTAATACTAAATTTATCTAATTATAACTATAATAATACTAATAACTTCTAGAATAAATAAAAATTGGCTTATAAAGTTCTTTATTTTTCAACTAAAAATTATAGAACTTATTAAATATAATATTTATTTATATTATTATCATTTTAAATTTATGTAGTTTATGCAGTTTATGCATATATAAATATTTTAAAATGATAAGTGTAATTATATTTATAGTAATTATTTATTTTTATAACTTTAAAAGATTATATAATTAATTATCTTCTTAATAAAATAATATATACAAGTTTTACTTTTAATAAAATTACTCTTTCAATAGAATAAGAAGAAAAATAAAGATAAAATATAAGATAAAATATGTAAGTTTATTAAGAGAAAATACTAATTAACTATTCTTAATCTAGTAATTAATTCTTTTTATTAAACTTAATTATTTTTCTTGATCACTTCTTGATTCTCTTTATATAATATTTTCTTGCTATACTAATTATAAATTATTTTTAATATAATATTTTACTTAATTTACTCAAGAATAAGTAGAATCTCAAAAAATAATTATAAAAAATATTTCTAAATTAATATGCAAAATAATTAAAAATTAGAATTAGTGAAATATTAAAGATATTTATAACTAAAGTAAGAAAAAAAAGAAAAATTAATAATAATTAATTAGAAAATTATTAATTTAATAAAATTATAAATTAGATGTAATATATATAGTTAAGTTAATAAAAGAATAAAGCTAAATATAAATAATAAGATAAATTAAAAATAGAATTAATAATAAATTAAATTAATTAATATAAATTTCTTATATATCTGATTTAATAATAATTAATAACTACTATATTATATATTGTAGTTGTATTATATTACTATGTTACTTTTATTATATTATACAAATAAATAATTAATTATAAAATCTCTGA